ATTCTGCAACTGTTCACCAGCGATAAAGGCAAACACATTTTCTGGCTTAATATGGTCTCTGAGAAATTCATTTGGATGGGGACCAGGGCCTGTTGCTTCATGCCACTCTCCAGCCTGTGTTTTTGTACAAATCCCAAAGTTACAAATCCAAACACGTACCAAAAGGAACTTATGGTATAAACTTGAATTTCACAACAGTGTGTGATCTGCAGTATCACAGCCCTCCAAATATCAATGTTGTTTTGACAAACAGTAAAATCCAACACTGACATGATAAAGAAAATGGCCAAATGTAGCAACGTATCTGCCCACAGCAGGGAACCAACTGGACAAAGGCTACTCTGAGTCACAATAAAAAAGGCAAACCCCCAGAAAGCCTTGAATCAATTCACTTGTCTTTCCATATTCCTGCATCCTAACACAGACCCCAAAGCAACATAAGGCTCTCAAGCAAGGCTGGCTCTGGCCTGTGGGACAGAGCAGAGAAGCTGCTCCAGGCTGGAGAGATTTAAAGACTTTTTTTAAAATAAAAGCTTCAGAATTGCTGGAAGATGCGACGTAAAGCGGAAGAGAACATAATGAAGGACTGGATTTAGTAAGGACACCGTGGCCGGACATTTCTGTTCCTGAAAAACAAAAATGTCCCCAAAATGCCAGTGATCACAAGGTTGTTACATAACCAAAGCATCCGTCAGAGCACGGATCATTCACACAAGAATCAAAAGCTTCTGATTCATAAATACTGAGCTCACACACTTTGAGAAGCTCCCAGAAACACACACACACAGGTGGATGGAGCTGCTCTGCTGGCAATACCACCCCAGTTGTGTCCAACCCTTGCTGCTGGAACAAAGCATGCCTGGTCTTTACGTTGGCCTTTCAGCACACAGGTTTTCCTGTAAAACCAGTAAATTGTCTTACACTGGCTTGGATTGGCTTAGTTCCACACTGGCTCACAATTCCAACATCTGGGCCTCTGCAGCAGATTTAAAAATGGTGGAAACACAAAAGCTTTCACTTCAAAAAAGTTCATCAGGCTGGAGGAAATCTCACCACTGGGGGCAAAGAGAAGAGATTGGATACAAGGGATGATGTAAGAATTCCTGACCTTAGCACAGGCAAAACAGGAGGAAACATTGGGATCTGGAGACAATAGAATAATCAGACCAATAATTAAGCTGATTAAGACCCTGATGGCCATGCTTGTTTAGCAGAATCAAGTCCAAAAATACTGACCCCACTACTGCTTCTCCCCTAGACAAAAGTGAATTACAATTATTTCAGGCAAAGGGGAAACTGGAATGTGAGCTGAGGGTAAGGGACAAACCCAGGACAAATTGAAATTTGAACACCTGAACCAAGAGAATAAATGAAACATTTTGGGAGGCAGAGGCTGATGCCTCAGCTTTTTTACACCATGCAATTTCACCAGGCACAAAACCAGCAGCTCTTCCTGAGTAACAAGGGGAATATTTGCATTTTCTTTCAACGGTGCTGGCTGGCAGCTCTGAATTTCAACTCCTGGGTGTTTTAAGGCAGTGGCAGGTTTTGCATCAAAAGCTTTCCAGAAAGTTTCACATTTCAATGCAAATGTTGTTAATCCTCTACAGTGAGCCTGTAATTAAGACACTGATTCCACAGGGTACTGCAGCACCCAACAGTCCAGACAAGGTTTAAAGGCACCCACCCACAGCAGCCCCAGCCTCCATCAAGCTGCTTCCCAGCTCCAAACCTGAGGTGGAAGGCACCACAGATGTGCCATCTGCTCCTGGCATCCATCCTTAGGGACATCAACAGCCCCAAAACAGGTCAGGAAATGGTGAAACATCACATCCATGGTTAGTGCAGATGCAAAGCATTCCTTTCACAGGAGACATGGAGCACCACTGCAGTTACTCATCAGAGATGAAATGTCCAGTGCCATAATTAGCTACAGAATATTCATTAGTTCTTTAACTAATTCACTTGGGAGAAAAAAAAAAAAAGTGGTGGACTGTGCACCTCCTTTTTTCTAAAAAAACCTAAAGTGATGTGCATGTTTTATTCAGTTCCCCAAATTTGTTTTGAAGGATGTTTAATTTCTTTGTAGGAGGACTTAGGTCAGAACACAGAAGTGCAACCTCACTTTGTGAGATGGGTACCGGAACCTCCAAAATTCAAATTCAGCATTGGAACAGATGTCTTGACAGCAGGCAGCTGGAAGTGGAGGATGTCAGGGATGTCAGGAGCCAGGTCTGAGGCTAATTCCCAGCAGCCTTCCTTGTTCTTTGCCCCTGATCATTTAACAGATCGTTTTTCTTACCAGCACCTACAGGGCAGAAGAGCAGCCCCAGGCCTTGACTGCAGGCAGACATCCCTGTTCAGAGCCTGGAGCATGAACCAGGCTGCAGGGCAGGTCTGGAGCTGCTCTGCAGAGCAGGAAGGCAGAGCAGAAGCAGGTTCATCTGCCCTGAAAAGGGGGCTGGCAGTGGGGCTGGGGGCAGAGACCCCCTCCCTCAGAGATGCAAACACCAAACCCCCCGTGAGCTGCTGCTGCCCCACTCATCCCTGCCTGCTCAATATTCATGAAAACCAAATCCATCACTTCAGCCACAGACAGGTTTGGAAGGATTCAAATATTTATGCTGACAGAGCTCTAGCCCCTCACATGTCTCCTTGCCCGCACCCTGCTTCCCATCAGAGCAGGACTGAGCATTTTCACTCCTCACCTCCCTGGGCAATACGTGGATGTTGATGTAAGAGTTTCTCTGCCTTGCTCACATAGAAGTCCCACCTGGCAGCAGCTGCAGGGGCACCACGAGTGCATCCCCACTCCCAGCAGGGAGCAGGGGCTCAGGAGCAGGTGGGATATGGGCTGAACGGGCTCCTGGACAGCACAGAGCACAAAGCAACACTCTGGGCCAGCTCCTTTGGAGCAGGGGAGCTGCAACTGGGAACAGGGATGAGATTTGCCAAGTGAATAATTCCTTCCCCATCCCACCCTTTTGGCAAAGCCAGCACCACCTTTCACTTCCAACAAAGGGCATTGGCAGTGCTTGGCCAGAGCAAGGCCGTGATCCTTTGCTCACAAAGCAGCCGATTTTCTGCTGTCCCCAGCAGCCACCACAGCTCAGAGCAGGGTCAGTTCAAGCTCTGCTGCAGATCTCATCTGTCCAGGACCACCACAGATCCCTCCCCAAGCCCCTGTGCCCTACACAAACACACCTACTGCTGGCCAGGCCAGCAGGCAGAGTCCTCAGCTTGCTGGGTACAGCTGGGAGCCACAGAGAGCTGCACATGGATCACTTCCCTCCTCAGTCACCTGCATAAAGGCCATTAAAATTAATAGAATAATATAAATCTGCCATTGTTTCCCCTCAGCACAGAGGGAAAGCCAAGCCATTGCTAACAGGGGTGGCTCAACAAGGTTTATATTGCCCTGGTAAATGCAGAGGCTGCAAGCTGCATCCGATTCTGAGCAGCTGCATTATCCCATCCAGAGAATGAATTCAACACACAACCACAGAATTACATTTATGTTTAAATCTCACTGTTGCCATTATGACCAGCCAGAGTTTTTTAAAAGTGAGACCTGCCCCATTGCAGACAGATGTGAATTTTTCACATTCTTTTTGTGATTTCCTCACCTAAACATGAGAGGAAGGAAAAGCAGATTCCTCTCCTGGGGTTTGTCCATCTGCCTCAGGGGAAATGAGGGATTTGTTTACAGGCAGGAGGAAGCAGCTCTGAGGGTTCATCTGAGCAGAGGAAGCAGAGGCAGTGCAGGCAGCCCAGCACTTGACCTCTGCTACCAATGCAGTCGTGCCAAAGGCTTCTGCCCTTTCAGTGTCTGCTGCAAACAGCTCAGATAAAAGCACAGGGAATTATCCAGCCCTTCCAAAGAACCTTCTGCTGCCGAGCCTTTCCCTAAGCCATGGTACAACTGACCTGGGCAATTAACAGCAAAGCCTCTCCAACCCAAGCAGCTGCAGAGGAAAATATCTATTTGGCAACCCTGAGACCCGGCAGGGAGTGAGGGGGAGGGAGAGAACGGACTGAATGATGGATTCTCACGTTGTGTTTAGCATCTCTAAATACCTCCCTCTTCCCCAGATGATCATTTTCTCTCCGAGTCAGGGCTGGAGAGGCAGTTGAGCATCAGCCAGTGCAGGGGCACAACCCTCCCCCGGGCTTCCACGCCCGGCACACGCGGCTCCACACCCCCAGCACCACGCCAGGGGTTTTAGTTCCTTTTCAGAGTACAAAGAGTGGTTCATCCGAGCTTATCTCTTCTGCAGCCCCGGTTCTCCCAGCATAGAATCATCCCCAAAGAATGTTTCAGTAATGCTGCGGTGCTGAATTTCAGAGGGACACTTAATCTTGCCCCAGTGGCTCTCCAGGGCCAACTTTCTGAGCATGAAATATTTAACTGTCCGTGGGCGTCGGATATGATAATAAAGTGACCGCTAACCAGCCGCTGAAATAAGCGTGTGAGGAGGAGAGCAGAAGCTATCAAATACACAAACCAGCCTAATTACTGTCTTCCTTCCATTCCCATGAACCCCTGGGCACTGCTCACACTCCCCAGCAGCAGGGACCCAGGAACACAACATTTCCAAGGCATTGGGATAGTCAACAGGGAAGAACTGGAAGGAGGAAATCAGGAGAAAGGTTGGTGAAGGGCATTGTTATCAAGTCTTTCTCATTTTGGGGATGTGAAAACATATCTGGCTTGCCTAAAAGAAACCAAGCCCTGCATTTGAGAAAAAACTTTGAAACTGCTTGCAATTCTGCTACTCCCTCACTCCAACAAAGTTTATCTTTTGGCATTTAACACCTTGCAGACTCCCAAGTGAGCACATGCCTGTTAACACCTTGCGAGAGTTAGCGGAAGCAATGGAACCCACCCAGGACCCCTGAGGGCAGCATGGCAGAGGGGAGCTCCTGCTGCTCAGTCATTCCTGGCACAGAGGCTCTTTAGCAAGCTCAGCCTTACCTCATCCCACTCCGAAGCGAAGGACGGGGACTTCTCCAGCCGCTTCTTCCCGGCGCTGCAGTTGGAGAGCGATTCGCTCCGGCTCCCCATGGCATCGTCCTCCGTCGGGGAGCAGGTCAGCAGGTCAGAGTCCGACTTGGACAAGCTGCGGCTGAGCTTGAGCTCGGCTTTGGGCTTGCTGCCCGGGTGGGCTCTGCCCACAGCTCTGTCCCCCTCTGGCTCAGCACTGCCGGGGTGCTGCGGCACGTGGGGCGTGACCGGGGCCGCGGGATCCGCCCGGCTGACGTGCTGCACCGTGGCGTACACCGCCGTCTGCGTGGGGTCCGGGGGGCTGCTCCGCGCTGCGCCCGACGAGGCTAGCTCAGCATCCTCCGGCTGCATAGCAGCGGGGCGGCTCGTGGCTTCCGTGTCCCCCTTCTCCGCTGAGGAAGCGAGCCTGAAAGGGTCCTCACTTATTTCACAGATTGGAGAAGAGCCGTGCAGCAACCCCGAGAACTGCTCCGGCACCTGGATGTCCTGGCTCTCAGCAGAGTCCTGGCTGCGGCCGCCGCTGCTCCTCCTGTGGTCTTCAAGGGGATGAAAGCAGAGAGGAGGGGGGAAATTAAAAACATGGAAGAAGCAGTAAAATCCAGCTCTCTCCCTGCTCTCCCTCAGCAAGGGAGGGAGAGATCTAAAGAGAGAACAGTTCCGTATTGTTCCGCGTGCTCAACTTGTACCCAAAGTCGTGGCATTTATGAAATTCCAAACACTGGCCCGATTTACGCAATCTGGCAGCTCTCCGTGTTTTTTATTCCTGTTAACACTAACTATCAGCCCTTGCTATATAAGGCCAGGAGAAGTGCTAACTATATCCTGCAGAGAGAGCAAGTGAGGTGGGAGCAGCAGAGACAGAGGCTCCTGGAACATCTGATCCCTTTCCATAAAGGCCAAAGCGTTATTTAGAGCCGCGCGCCCGGCTCTTGGCACGGGCTGCAGGGTGGGAAAACGCCTGGACTGTAATCGACCTGCGAGTTCCAAAATCCGCTCCCAAAAAAACCCACTGCTTCCCTCCCTAGTGGCTTCCGAGTTTAACCTCTCCTCCCTGCTCAGGGGAGAGAAATAAACAGTTTATGCAAGAAAAAAAGCTTGAGGAAAAAGTCTCTTTTGCAATGAACTGAGCACAGAGTGGTCAGAGCTGGTGGAGCACTGGCTGCCCCAGAAACGTGACACTGGTTCCCAGCTACTCCTGCCCCAGCAACCTTAATATCAGGTACCAGGGTCCTGCATAAACCATGAAGAATTGACTGATCCCAAGTGCTGAGCGTGCACACACACACATACATGCACTCACCTTTGTCACAGCTGAATGAGCATTTCAACTGCAGAAGCAAAACTTTGTCAAGCCAACAAGTCTAACTTTGGTTTCCTAGGATTCCTTCACCCTCTCAGCATTGCTTGTGAATTTTAACTGCTTCCATTTAGTGCTGAAGAAACTCTTCAGTCTGAGGGCTAAAAATTGATGCTGCAAGGGAACAATACAGCGAAACACTCCGATAACGAAGCTCTGAAGTGCAGGGAGGATGTTTGGATCTCAAGAGGAAATCACTTGCTTTGCAGACATCAGCTCTGGGAAGCCAAGGCAAAGGAACCCTCCTTTCCGTGAGCAAAACAGTGAGTTCCACTCTAACTAAAAGCAGCCTGTTAGCAGCAGCAGAGAGCCCAACTCGGCTCCCAGCACCTTTCCAGCACCATGCCTGGCCAGGGCATTTTCAAACACCAATATCCATTGGGCTTTGTGGTCCGCCCTCACACCAGAACCGGGCAGGAAAAGGCTGAATTAGTAATCTGCTTTGTGAGGGAGTCCCAGGTACCCTGTGCCTGATGAGCATGGTGAATCCCTCTGGCAGGCACAGGAAGGCCAGGAGCAGCCACAGCCCTCACTGGGATCAAGTGATGCGAGGGATTATCTCATCCTGGATCCTATGAGTTAGAGATTCCAGGACAGTGAAGTAGTTGTTGACTCTCTTGCACAGGCACATAAACCACCAGTTCTGTGACTGGAGCTGCCAAGGGGGAGGCAGGTCCCAGTGCTGGCTGAGAGGGACCAGCAGCAGCACCCCAGATTACAATGCCAGACTAAACCCAGTTACTTTGCATAAAGCTCTGAAGCTCCAGTGCTGGAGAGAAACCTCAGAGGACAAACCTCAGAGGAGATCAGATGTGCTGCATTCACAGGACAGACTGGTACTAATGCAAAGCCACAGAGAGGTGAGCATGACAGGAGTGATGGGACAGTCACATAAACCTGTGGGGAAAGAAAAACTTTTGCTGTTTTTCTTCCCAACCTCTTCCCTTCCTTGGAAACCATTTCTTCCATGCCCCAGCTGAACCTTTACTGACATTTCTGCTGAAGGCAGAGAGGTGGCTGGCCAAAGTTTGTGCCACGTGCTGTAACACTTGAGTCCAGCCAGAACAAAGTGCTCCAAATCCAGCTCCAGCACCTCACAAAAGGGCTCCTGTTGGACAGGAATCCCAGCCACCCACTCATCTGCAAGCTGAAGAGGGACTCTGAAACACGGGGCAGCTGCCAGGGAAGGAAGGAATGGAGCAAGGGCAACAGCACTTGCTCAGAAATTGTGAGAAACATCTTGAAGGAGACATTTCAGAGCCTGCCTGCCCTGGAAGCTGCAGACAGAATAACAAATGTAGAAAGCAATCTCAGTCTTTTTTGTCCCTGAGGTGCACGGAGCAGGAACATGCAGGTCTCTCCAGGCCTCTCCTTTTTTCAAATCCCCCTCCTCCAGTTTCATGTGAGTTACACTCTGAAAGAGTCCCTAGCACAGGGACTTCTGCCCAGCTCCCTTCACGGATTTTACTCCCTTCACTGATTTTACCCTCCAGCACAGATCATTTGACAGATCCTGCCTTTTTCAGCCACAGCCTGATGCAGGCCTTACCCACAGGAGAGGCTGCCCCCAACCCTTTCTGGGATCAGGAGCCCTTCTTGGGTGCAGACTGTCTGCATCCAGAGAGAATTCCAGTAAGAGCTTCCCTGCCAGCAGCCTGAGGACTCCAGATATGAAGCACTTCCCTAAACACTCCATGCTAAGCTGTAACCACCCTCTCTCCGCTGGATTTCTTTTCCTCTATATCAACAGCAGGATTTGTCTCACAACTCTGGATTAGGAGAATGAAGCTGTTCCTGCAGCTGCTGCCTGCTCAAGCTCCCCAACCTTAAAATCAGTGAGAGCACAGAGCAGCCTCTGATCTGCACATGGAAAAGGCTGCCCATGTTACATCATGCCAGAATTTGTCAAGTGAGGAGCAGGCGAATCTCCCTCCTGTGAAACAGAAGGCCAGAGGAAGAAGCTGCCCTTGAGGGGTGCAAAAATATCCTTCACCTAGAACAGAACTGAAACACAGGCCCATTCCACAGGCAGCTACCAGCAGCTACCACCCTGCTGCTTCAGCAGCCACATTCTGGATCTCAGAATAGAGTTTCTTTCAATCTCTCTGCAGAGTGTTCTGACTTTATTGCTGGTTCATTCCAGCTCTCTGGTCAGCAGCACAGTCACACTGTGCTGGCTGAACCAGTATAACCACAAAGAAAATCTCTAACAGGAGGAAGGGCAAAGTGGGGACTTCAAGCTGGACCTCCTATGGAAGCAGCACAGAACAACCTCAACAAGTATCAGTTTGTAATAACTACCAGAAGGCACCAAGTCGGTCCTACCTGCAGCTGGTCAGTGCTGACAACACCTGGGTGTGACTCCTGAGAAGCCAAACGTGCCAAAATTCAAGTCTTTTCACCCTCCATTAGGTCTCTCTGGAGGCAGGAGCTGAGAAGCCTCCTCCTGGTCACTCCACACACATTCCTATTCTTTTGCCTTATTTTCACACCCTGTTCCAGGGCCTGGTGCCCTGACTTCACGCATGTGACTGCACACCAAAGTGGATGGGAGAGCTTTTGGCTTAAACCACTTCTGATACTCCGCCCAAAACACGAGGCCAACTTCTCCCAGTGCTCCAGCATGTGACAGCGAGCTGCTCTAACACACACAAAGGCCACCAAAGCCAGTGGATAATGCCACATTGATCTGTTGGCTGGACACAGGACAACTGGCAGCCAGAGGAACAAAGGCAGCTATCACAGATGAAAGGCACCATTAAACCCATGTGCCTGAAATTCAGCCTTTCTTCTGCGCTGAATCGCCCTTTCAACAGCCACAAGAGCCCAAGCCCTCCTCTCCTGACCAAAGGCTGCTCCACAACTCATCTAGAAGGCCAGACCCTCAGACTGAGAGCCAAGAAACAGTTCAAAGCCATGCTTCAGCTTGTTCCATGTCTTGGGATTGAGCTGCTGCCTTTGATGCTCCAGGACTCTTCTGACCTAGAGATGGGAAAATTCTCCAACACCCCAAGTAAGGCTTCAGACACTCCCTCAACTCTTGTTTAATTCTGCCACTCCTTAAATTTATCTTCTCCCCCCACCATCAGCTACAGTGCTGACTGCATTTAAAGAATGGGAAAGTCAGGGAAGATGAGGAAAAACTCAACTGCATCCTTGGATTTCTCCCACTGTAACAGTGGGAAGAGCTCCAGGCTTGTTACCAGCACTTTCCATGGAGTGCAAACCATGAAGTCACAGCTTTGATCTTTCTAACTGTACATCAAAAAGATGGGACTCTGCTCTGGATCCATAAAAGGATCCATAAAGATCTTCCTGCAACCTCTCCTGTCTTCAGGTGTTCAGGGGAAGAGATCTGCATCAAGAACAGGCACCTGCATTACTCTGAGGTTTTTAGCTGACAGATAATTAGGACATACCTCCACTCTTACCAATCAAGCCTGGACACAGCAGCCAGGGGAAGGAGTGGAGCAGTTGGAATAGCTCATGCCTGAATAACCAGCAATAGCTGCCCACTGATGAAAGCCTGAAAGCCCTCGCTCAGTGGCTGTTGCCCAAGGACTGTTCCTGGCCCAGACTGCAAAGCACCAACCTAAAAAGCTCTCAAAACTTGCCTCTGGCAGTGAGGAGCTTTGGAAAGTGCTGGTGGGAACACAATGACCTCTTGTGCCACCCTGGAGAGCAGCAGGACCTGGGCAATGATAGCTTATCATGCTGCAAGTAGGAGAAAAAAGCTGCAGGTCTGACAAAACAGTCAATGAGGCATCACCTCCTTGTTAGCCCTGTCCATCCTCAGAGGGAGAGGGGTCCCAGAGTGAGAATCCAAACTAATTCCACCCAAATTCCTGCTTGGGACTTCTCAGTAAAGCGGAAATCTTTTCCCTCTAAACAAATCTTTTGTTGTTATTGTTGAAGGAAAGCCAAAAAGCCAACAACAGCCGAACACAAGAGACAAGGTGTTCCCAGATGCTTTGTAAAGCTCAAAGGTCCTTCACGGGGAGGAGAAACTGCCTCAATATCAACCTGTGTAACCCCCATGCTTTCAGACAGTTCTAGTTCTTGCTCTACACATTTTTGTTTTCCTCCTCTCTTAGTTTCCATCTCAGATTAGCTCTAACACAGAGCAGGATGTTGATTTTACAGCAGGATAGCAGAAACCTGCAGCGCCAGCTGGATGGAGAACACAGCTCACTGGAGCACTTGTGTTGCTCATCTTCCCTGGCAGAGGTGCAGCCTCCAGCCTCTCACCCTCTGTCTTTGCTTGGCTAGGCATGAGATTTGGGCATTTCTGAGGTCACAGAGCAGATCCTTGCAATCTCTGAAGTGTCCTACAGTGGAGCTGCCCTTCCTCCACGTACACTCTGTACGGGAACGCTCAGAGC